CAGTATCCAGCCTGAATTCCCTCCTGTTGAGAAGGTCTTAAGTCCAATTAGACAACTCCTGGTCACCCTCAAAATAAAAGTGCCATCATTTTGCTGTTTTAGGTATTTTACAAGTCTAGACATTGATGTGTTTCATACCCTTTATGATGGGTTGACTAGCAATTGTTCCTTTCCTTTGGCAAATGCATAGTAACTCCAATTCTGTGAGAAGCAGTCCTCAAGAAGGCATCCTAAATCAATTTCATATCAATCAATCCACTTACCATGTTCAAAGTATGTGGCATCTCTAGCAATACAATCTTACAATTAAATTTTGGAGGTAAATTGAGAGGAATAGCAATAGCCTCTATAACTTTTAAAGGCTTTGTATTTCTCCAACCAAAAACTCATGGAGAGGTTTCCCATACCTGGTACTGGAGTTTTTATAAAATGCTATGTGGTTCTTGGGTGGAGCCCCATCACTTTAAGCTGTAAATTTTCACTGAACACACACACACACTTGTATACACATATAATATATTTTAAATAAGCATAAAACAATGTTTCTCTCTATCTTTTCAAGGATCCTTATTATTTATCTCTCCCTCTCCTACTTTCCCCTGTATTGCCCTTCCCTCCAAGTTAAAGCCCTTCCTCATTAACATCACCTGTCTCTTACTGTGACTCCTCCTCTCCTCCTTTAATGAGCCATTTGTTATTCTCTATATTATTAGGATACTTCAGAATGTATGCTCAAATCTAAAGATTCAGAACAAGCACAGGCATATAAGAGACCTCAAGCAGCATTTTTCTTTCTAGGTCTGGGTCAACCTTGCTGAGTACAATAATTTCCAGCTCTATTAATTTACCTGAAAATTTCCTTTCTTTTTTATTTATAGCTAAATAGTTCCATAGTTTACTACATTTTTATTACGCATTCATCAATGGAAGAGCATGTAGATTGCTTCAATTTCCTAGCTATTGTGGCAATAATCGCAATAAACATTTAAGGTTAAGCAAGGATCTCTTGGGTAGGTTATAAATTTCTTTGGGTACCATGACAAGGTGGTATAGAATTTGGCAGGAAATTCTGAGAATGATGCAGGGGAAAAGAATTCTCAACAACTGTTTGGTGAGATTACAAATCAGTGCAGCAGTTAAATCAGTGTGGAGAGCTCTCAAAAGGCCAGAAGTACCATAGACTGTCTTACACAGGGCCTGTATGAGTGCCTGAAATGTAAGCCAGGCTTCTTGTACTTCACCCAGCTTCCCTCCCACATCTCCTTTCTCCCAGATCCCCTCCATTTCCTCTTCATGAAAGTGTAGGCTTCTAAGGAACAACAACCAAGCACAAATGAAACAGGATACAGTGAGACACAGCAAAAGCCCTCATACTGAGGCTGGACATGCCAACCCAACAGGAGGAAAAAGGTTCCAAGATCATGCAAAAGGGTCAGAGACATACCCACTCCCCCTGCTAGGAGTTACACAAAAACACCAAGTTCATAACCATGCATACATACATACAGGGGACTGGGTGCAGGCTCTGCTTGTTTCTGTCCCTGTGACAGATGTTAGCAGAGTTTAGTTGATTTTATGAGCCATATTTTCCTGGTGTCCTCCACCCCCTCTGACTCCTACAATCTTTCCTCCTCTTCTACAGGGTTATCAGATCTCCAAGGGGAGGGACCCAAAGGAGACCTCCAATTTAGACTCCCTCTCTCCACATAATATCTGGCTATGTAAGCAAAGCTTGCAATGTGCTTTTCTTAATTGCATTACATATTACCAACTCTCTGTCTGGGCCAAGAAAACATTGTTTTCTCTGGTCCAATATGTTATTTCATCACAGGTTCACTTTATCTCAACTAATCACCATCAATTTACTATCTCAACCTGAAAACTTCTAATATAGAGTTAACATCACCACAGTTACCTACTACTTAAAGTGACCTTCTGTGTCTTCCATCATGCAATTATGATTCTAACTTAATTACTATCATCTTTTCTTCATATTTCTAAATCCCATGGTTTCAGTTTCTTTATCTGTATTTCTAGAAACTTGAGGCATACTAGAAAATCACACACAAACACACACATACAAATATACATTGTATGTGCCCCACATAGAAGTATGTAATTGCAATATGATATCATCCTTCTATTGGTGTTTAACTTTCTTCATTTGAGACTTACACTGAAAATTAAAATATATTACAAAACTGTTTTTAAGCTTGTGATAGACAGATCTTTAATTGATCTTTGACAAATTCTTGCATATATAAATTTCATTCAAGTATAATGATTACTGTAACCCATATTCTCTACTCTCACCCTTATTAAACACCTCTCCTCCCACCCTTCATCCCTACACCTCCTTTATAATCATCCATGCTTCTTCTTTCTTTGTGTGTGTGTGTGTGTTTGTTATTACTTTGTTTCATTTTTTTAATCCATTGTGTTTAACTAGTATCATCAGTGTTATCATGACTTTGGAAAAAATGTATTTGTTTGGGATTTTAATAACTACTTCTAAGTCCCTGTATGACTAACAAAACACTTGTGAAGCCTATTGTTGGTGCAGTGTGGGTTCATTTGTTTCACAGGTTACTCCTGGCATCCTCCTCCGCTAAAGCAGTGACTTAAAAACCTTTATGCTTTAGATCCAGTTAAAGCTATGCGAAGTGACTGAGAACGGGATGGCTAAAGAAATGAGTTCTAATTTTAGAAAAATCTAAGCTCAGATTGCATTGCCACAATTCAGAACTGGCAAACCCTTAAGCAAGCTCTGTCGGGATGCTTCCTTATGAAATGGAATTAACCCATAGGAAAGTATGTGAGTTCAGTTTTAAACTTGGGCTTTACAAAGTTTCCAAACTGACAATACTAACAATGGTCCCACCAACAGCAAGTGTTATAAGCACACTTAGAAAAATATGAAAGGGGAAACAGAACCCACCCTAATTGTCATACTCCTATCTGGTGGGATAACAACCAAAACTGACACATAGGAATATCTTATTTTATGAATGTGAATATGAATATATATTCTCTTACTCTTATATCAGATTTGTGTGGGAGATAACTCAAAAGTTTCATGGAACACTGGAATCAGTGTTTCTTGAAGGAATCTCATAGTCTTAGTCTCCAAACTTTCCATGAGTTTTTTTGTGCTCTGAGTGTTACCTCAGTCACTAGGAGCTAGTACTATACCTGTTAACAAGGCATTCCTATTTCCAAAAATCAGATGAATTTATCTAAAGGGCTCACTTTTAAACAAAAAAAAATGTGACACAGTAATATAGTGGGCAAGTCACTTGGCATCAGATAATGAGGATAATTGTACTAATAGTAAACCAATAGTCCAATTATCTAGAAAAGATTAAAATAGATTACTTCTCTTTTACCTGTATGAACTTTTTCAGAATTACCTGCAAGGCAATGCATGTCAATGTAGAGGATAAGCAATAAATATAAGAGGAAATGAATTGTGTACATTTTGTAAAAGTGGGGTTATAGGGAACATTATTTGGTTATTTATTTTTCCCCAATTCTTAGAAGTGACTCTCAATATGAGTATGAAAAGTTGCTCATCACAAAGAAAATTCACAATGTCATACCTAAAGACATCACCAATGCCAGTGCTTATGTAGCATTTGTGCACAGGTGGCCTTTGTTCGGGCGTAGTGAGAAAGAGCTAACTCACAGGCCTTTTAACCAGTCTCTGATGATTTTCTGTGGAGGCTCTTCAACTTCAACAAATTGGCTTTGAGGTTTTTCAGTTCAAATTTGATTGTGGGAACAGAATTTGTTAAAATATGCACACAGGTAGGATTAAGACAACAGGGTGTAAGTTGTTAGAGTAAAATGGACCAACCTCCTTCTGTGGGTGATTAGAACAAATGAATATGGAACCTGAATTAGATGGAATAATAAGGATTTCTCCATCAAGCCGGATCACCACAGGCTGACTCTATGACTGTACAGTATTGGTTATTGAGTCTGGACAAGAGTCCAACAAAGAGTAATTCCAGCAAAACTCAAGCTACTTGAAACTTTACCTGTTGAGATCCACAATTCCATCTTTTGTTTTGTTGGTTACATTCCAATTTTTAATCCAATATGCCTCATATTCAAAGAGAATTAAAATGACAGTGATTTGAATACATACTTTATTGGTAAAATATATATTAAATGTATCTTTAAAGTTTATCTCTATTATATGTGGAAAATAAATAAATATTTTGAAAATATTTTTGTGCATTTAATCAGGATAGTTACAAGTATTTCATATTAATTAGAGACACTGGGGACATGGGTCAGTGGTTAAAAACATTCATTTTTCCTCCAGAGGAACCACATTCAGGTCTCAGCATCCACATCAAGGACTTCACAACTCTCTTGTCTCCAGCTCCCAAGAACCAACCATCCTCTACTGGGCTCTGCACATACCATAAATTCACAAACTTAACACAGACACATACAAAATGAAATTTAAAAATGTATAAATTAGAAAGGTTAATATATCTGTATAGCCATATAGTATAACTGAAATCATAACTGACATAAAATTATTCTAAGACACATTAAATTATGTTTTCAATGCCAAAAGTATTGGAGCTAAGCACTAATGCTTATTTAATTTAGCAAGATAGAATGGAAATTAACATATGTTAACAGTTTCAGGTTTCCCCTTTCTAAATTAAAATAAGCCTAGAATGAATATGAATCAACGGGATAAATTCAGCTTTGGTTGATTTTTCTAACTCTTCTTTATTTTCAACTTCTTGTGAATGGATTAACAACTCCACGCTCCCATAAAAAGGAGGTGAGGCAAACACTAATATCGGCTAATTTTTCCACTGCACTTTGCAAATGTTCACATGTTTTCAGTGAAACTATCAGCTGCATGTCCACTTAGAAATTCAAACTTCCAAGCTGATTTTATTGTCTGAGGTGTTGAAGGCAAAGTTTCCAACTGCCTATGAGTCTGAGGTAAAACTATCAATGCTTTGTTACAGCTTTTGCCAACAAGAGAAACTGCCCATGACCTTCCAGTCCTGTGTGATCAACAAAGAGTGCCAAGTGTCCGAGTGGTCGGAATGGAGCCCATGTTCGAAAACATGCCATGATGCCACATCCCCCACCGGCACTCGTGTAAGGACAAGGACCATCAGGCAGTTCCCAATTGGAAGTGAAAATGAATGTCCAGAACTTGAGGAGAAAGAACCCTGTTCATCTCAGGGAGACAGAGCTGTCCTCTGTGCTACGTGAGTAAAAGTGAGAGTATTGTGTCCTCAAATGGCACGCCACTTCAGCTTTCCAATGTCACAAATATTTGAAACTTGTTATATAAGTATTCTGAGTATTCTGACTTAAAATGTTTCTGACATGACAGTATTAGAAATGATGAATTTTTTGAATGTTTTAAGAAGAAAACTAGAATATCTGGTTACAAAATTTATCCAATAAAAATGTGCTTCTTCTACAGAATGTAGATGTATTTAACAACTACACTTCCAATCTCCGTAAAGGCTACCTTTTTAACACCATTTCTTTGTTTATTTGTTTTTTTTGTTTTTGTTTTTCTTTTTTTTTTTTATTTTTCGAGACAGGATTTCTCTGTATTGCTTTGGATCCTGTCCTGGAACTCTCTCTGTAGACCAGGCTTGCCTTGAACTTTTAGAGATCTGCCTGCCTCTGCTTCCCAAGTGCTGGGATTAAAGGCATGCACCACCAACACCAGACTTCAACACCAATTTTTTTAGTAGTGTATTCTATAATATTGGTTGGTGAATTATTTTAGTAAATGGCACACAATGAGGACATTTGATTGGACAGACTATATATTTCTTTGTTGCAATGAGTCACCACTTTCAGGAGAGATATAAGTGGTATGTAAATGAGTGTGTCCCTGCACCAATAAAACTTTATTAACAAAAAGCAAGAGACATGCTAATTTTGTCTTTGGTCCACCTTTTGTCAACCTCCAAGCATTGAAATCACATATTCCTGTAACCTACTAAAATGTATTAAGACATATATATATATATATATATATATATATATATATATATATGTCAGTTTTAATGGAATATAGCAAAAAAAAAAAAACTACACCAAAATTAAGGGGGTTTTTAGGTGTTGGGAATTGGTGATGTTTTGGTTTTGTTTGTTTGTTTGTTTGTTTGTTTCATCACCAGCATGTATTATATGGCCTAGTAGCATTAAAGTACCTGATAAACATTCATTGACTTAGATGAAATAAAACTAGTTCTGAAATATTTGCCAAAATAACAGTATTTTCATTAAGAATACTCTTTCCAAGACATTACAGAAAATTGTCTTAACAACTAAATCATCTGAATATATTTATAAGGAAACTTGGAGAATCTTAGTCTGCACACTCAACTGGGAGCTTCTCTATACTGTCCATGCTTTCATGGACAGGCACATAGTTTGACATTCATAAACCAGGTGATGAGGCAAATTAGTGCCATTAGTAGATTGACATGGTAACAAAAATAGCAATGGTTTACACGAAGTCTCCTATTGTGTTTTGCAATCACCTACAATCTTTCCATACATGAAGGGAATAAAAAACCCAGTTCCCCTCTAGGGAACTCCGGGTGCTGCTGACTACAGTTCTTCTCTATTACAGAGCTCAGGGATGTTGCCCACATTTCTGGATGTTGTCTCCACGGGAAGTTTCTTCTGCTTTTGTCTAACCATGGTGCCTCATTTTTATCTTCTTAAATCTTCAAATATCACTTAAAGCAGATATCATTGGTTCTCTTTATCTTCCAACGTAACACTTTTCTTGGATTATATCAGCTATTTATATTAAAGTCTGTTTTTATCGAAGCATTCTTTAGTATGACCCAAACTGGAATGCCATTCGAGTTTTTTTTTTTAATGTCATTTAATATCCCATAGAAAATTGGTTGTTTCATTTTACTTTCTTCTACACGATTCCTAACTCATTCTCAATTATCCATGTATCTAGAAATGTTCCTTCTTTATACGCAAGATTGAGTGCTGTTTGTTCTTTGATGGTCCAATCCCTCAATTGTGCATCTCCAAACCCCCACTTCCAAAAATGAAAATGGGGAGGAATCTCAATATCACTGGCAAATTACTCACCACTGACAGATCCAAACACCCAGAGAAGACATGTAAGGGCACCCTTAACCGTTTTGTCTAATTGAGATGAGCACATCCATTTACATCTCTGTTAGCTATTAATCTGATGCATGGGGAATCATCAGTGGTTAGACTGACAAAATGCTACTTGAGCCATTTCCTTTGGGCTTTTAACATATCTGCTTTCCTAGAGGTGGAGAAATGTCATCACTTTCTATTGTTGGTGACATCAGGAAATGCTTCCCTGTCTGTCTCCTTCTAGGGAGAATCAGGCTGACAACCCCAACATTGCTTTCAAATCATAATCTTGATTGGAGCTCTGAGAATCAGGGATTATCATTTCTGTGCTTTACTAACAGCCTAGTCAGCTTTTCCCATCATTCATTGGCATTCATCAGGAATGCTAGTCTCTACAGAGCATGTACATGAAACACTTCTGATTCTTGACAGTAATGAGAAAGCTCTGAATTGCTCTGTTATATTTTTAAATCTAGAATGCAGTTAAAATTTTGCTCCAATATGAATAAGCAATTTTCATGCATTTTATTAAAAGCAAAACAAGTGTTTGGGCTTGTCATCACTTAGAATGTTTGGAATTCTCAGATTTGGCCTGCCTTTGTTTATAAGCATTAAGAGAGGGCAAGCTTGAGTTCAGTTTAATTGCACATAAAATTTCATGTTTTCAGCATTATGTTCTTATTTCATAAAATATTGATGAGTAACCTCAAGCAGTTGCAATTAAAACAGGCACACTCTACATTTAACCCTTTTAACGGATGCTCAATTGAGGACAAGGAAGCTATTGAAACTGAATCTGCATCTGACTGGGAGTCTGTATGGATCCAGAAGAAGTGTTTTTGAGTTTAAGTTTTACAAAAATCTGAAAAGAGTGGAGAAACGTTTTCCTGAATAAGCAGTGCTGCCACCCTCAAATTCTCTTCATCTAGATATGGCTGGAGAACTACAGAGTGGACAGAGTGCCACGTGGACCCTTTGCTCAGTCAGCAGGACAAGAGGCGTGCCAATCAGACAGCCCTCTGTGGAGGTGGTGTCCAGACTCGGGAGGTATACTGCACACAAACCAATGACAACCAGCTCTCCCACTTAAGTACACAAAAGGACAAAGAAGGTAGGTGATACTCCCCTCAAATGGCTTGCTCATGAAGATTGAGCAGGTAGTTGCCCTTGAGGAACATAAACAGACCATGGAGGACAGGAAGAGCCCCCGACTATTCACACTGTATTTACAGTCCAAGTCAGCTAAAGAAAACCTCCCTGATGGTTGATAAGAAACTAAACACAACTCTGCCTCTGCCTTGGTCAGGTTTTATTTGTCTTAGAGGTCTTTAAAAAAAAAAAAAATAGTAAAAGCCACTGGCATTGAAATTTAGGAGTGATTAGTTATGAAACTAAAATTGTAATCTATCTTGTAAATATATGCGTATATTGCATATATAAAATGAAAAAAATAAATATGAAGCTCATGATCAACTTTTTAAAGAAATCTTACTTTGTTTACTTGTGACTAAAAATAAACTAATATGTATATTTGGTTGTCTATTGTTTCTGTTTTGTTATATAGGGATTTTTGTAATTTATTATTTATGATTGTTGTCTTTTATTATTTTTCTTATTTTACATATTGATCCCAGTTCACTCTCCCTGCTTCCCTCCCTCCCAGTCTTCCACCCTGGCCCTCCCATGCCCCCTAACCATCCTCCCATCTCACCCCCCCCCATTCCACAGGTAGGCTGATGCCTTCTAGGAGGGGTCATCAAAATCTGTCAAGTCATTTGGAGTAGGGACTAGGCTGTCCCTCCTGCCTCTAGGTTAAGGGAGTATCCCTCCTTGGGGAATGTGCTTCCAAAGTCCTTTTGTGCACCAGTGTTATGTTCTGGTTCCACTGTCAGAGGTTCCTTAGACTATCCAGGTCATGTAACTGAGACCCATGTCTGGGGAGTCTGAGTCAGTACAATGCTGGATTCTCAGCTATCAGTCTAGGGGTTCATTATCTCCTCCTTGTGCAGACCAGCTGACTCTGTGGGTTTCTATAGCCTGGTCTTGTCCTCCTACTCTGCATCTGGATTCCAGGAGTTTGGCTCAGTGTTTAGCTGTGGGTGTCTGCCTCTGCTTCCATCAGCTACTAGATGAGGGCTCTATGATGGTGGATAAGTTACTCATCAATCTCATTATCAGGGAAGGGCATTTATGGTAGCCTTTCCACTGTTGCTCAAATTGTTAGTTGGGGTCAGTCTTGTAGGTCTCTGAACATTTCTCTAGAGTCAGTTTTCTCTTCAAACATATAATGGCTCCCTCTTTTATGGTATCTCTCTCTCTCTCTCTCTCTCTCTCTCTCTGTCTCTCTCACATCCATTCCTCCCATGACTCAATCTTTCTAGTCCAACGTGCTTCCTCTCCTCCCCTTCTCTTTCTCCTAGCTCCCTCTCCACTCACTGGACTGCCACTCCCAATATGCTCAGGAGATCTTGTTCCTTTCCCCTTCTGTGAGGGACCTTGTATGAATCTCTTAGATTCCTCCTTGTGTCCTAGTTTCTCTGGCGATGTGAATTCTAGGCTGGTGATCTTTGCTCTATGTCTAAAATCCATATATGTGTGAGTACAACCATATGACTCTTTTTGTGACTGGGTTACCTCATTTGGGATGGTTTCATCCATTTGCCTGCGAATTTCAAGATTCCATTGTTTTTTTCACAGAGTAGTGTTCCATTGTATAAATGTATCACATCTTCTTTATCCATTCATCAGTTGAGGGGCATCTAGGTTGCTTCCAGGTTCTTGCTATTACAAATAATGCTGCTACAAACACAGGTGAACACATGTCTTTGTTGCATGGATGTGGATCACTTGGGTATATGCCTAAGAGTGGGATTGCTGGGTCCTATGGTAGACTGATCCCCATTTTCCTGAGGAACTGTCATACTGATCTCCAAAATGGCTGTACAAGTTTGCACTCCCACCAGCAGTGGAGCAGTGTTCCCCTTTCTCCACATCTTCGCCAGCATAAGTTGTCATTGGTGTTTCTAATTTAAGCCATTCTAGCAAAAGTAAGATGGTATCTCAGTGTTGTTTTGATTTGCATTTCCCTGATAGCTAAGGATGTTGAGCGCTTTCTTAAGTGTCTTTCAGTCTTTTTTATTTCCTCTATTGAGAATTCTTTCTTCGGTTCTGTACACTATTTTTTAACAGGGTTATTTAGTGTTTTGTTGACTAGTTTCTTGAGTTCTTTGTATATTTTGGAGATCAGCTTTCTGTAAGATGTAGGATTGTTAAAATCTTTTCCCAGTCTGTGGGCTGCCATTTGGTCTTGTCACCTGTGTCCTTTGCCTTATAGAAGCTTCTCAGTTTGAGGAGGTCCCATTTATTAATTGTTGATTTCAGTGTTTGTGCTACTGGAGTTATGTTTAGGAAGTGGTCTCCTGTACCAATTTCTTCAAGGGTACCTCCCACTTTCTCTTCTAAGAGGTTCAGTGTGGCTGGATTTATAGCTGAATAGGTTGTTATACATTTCCTAATTATATAAATAAAATCTGCTCAGTCTATGTAATGATATTTAGATAAGTATAGTTTCAGGGCTAGCCACTTTGTACTAGATAGTCAATTTGGGGACTATTCCTTGGGGAAGACTACTTGTCTTGCTCTCAACATTCATTCTTTAGCAGTCTACAGTTCCTTGTGGAGGGTGAAATTTCCACGAGGTATGCCCCTTCTGTGTTAACATGTCTAATGGTGCCATCTATGTTCAGGTTTTGTTTAGGCAGCAGTGTTGCTGACACTTCACAGGTGCACTTTTTCTGACATTCCTAGGAGAAAATATGTCACTGCAAGCTTCCTCTTCCTCTCACTCTTGCATTCTTCCTACCTTGTCTTCTCTATGACCCCTGAGCCTCAGATGTAGAAGTTTTCAGGCATGGTACTAGAAACCTGCCAAATACTTGAGGCCAGTACTCAAATACTTGGATCTTGGAGGAGAACCTCCAGCTGCCATTTTCTAAACCAACATATTTCTGAACTACATTTCATGTATTTGTCCCTATAAGCGCAGATAAGTATAGGGCTCACCCCTTATTTTTATTATAATTTAATCAATTGGGGGACTGGATGGACAAGTGTGCAAAAGACCAAGTGAATTCAAAACGGCCCATGCTATGGGAGGATCACTATGTTATTAGGTCAAGTTTATCATGGGTTCTTTAAAATAGTTCTGTAAGCCACTATTTATCTGTGTACCAGCAAGACTCCCAAGACTAATCTGTGATGACATATTATTTATGATTTATTAAAGCTTGTCTGAGGATTCAGAGAGCAAAGTCAGCCACAAGCTATAGAGATCAGGCAGTGGTGGTAAACACATTCAATCCTAGGGCTCAGGTTTAAGAGGTAGATGGATCTCTGTTAGTTCAAGGCCACACTAACTACATGAAATTGATACATTCCTAAAAGAAACAGCTCACATAAAGTTGATCTCAGCACCTGGGATCACAGGCTTTTAATCCCAGCATTAAGGAAGTGGAGACAGGAAGATATTGCTGGGCAGAGAAAGGAATATAAGGAGGAGGAGGAGACAGTATCTGAGAGCCTTTTGCCTCTGAGGATTCCTGTATACAGATTTGCCATTTCAGCTTGGTAGAAGATCTACTACTGGCTTGGCTGCTTTGCTTCTCTGGTCTTCTTGTAGCATTTTGTATACTACACTAATCCATATGACATATATTTATTAGATATCAGTAAACTGGTTATAACCAAAGATCCAAAGATGGATATAATAGGATAATATGTCAACATATATTTCATTTCATAAAAGTCTTAAAATTCATTATGATGGTACACAAAGCAAAAGTCACAACAGTATGATGACCTGCATAACCACAATTAGCAAAAAACTAGTGTGAATAGTAGTTCAGCAGACTGACCACTGACAAGCAACTTTGAGAAAAGAGGGTGAGAGCACAGACTGCAGGAGTTTGTTTCAGGCAGAGAGGATAGTGACTTATCAAGGTACAACACTAAAGCAATGTCAGAACAAAGCACATTTGCATTTGACAACTGGGACTAGAAGGGAACTTCTTAGGAAATATGTTGATTGGGAAATGAAAAACAACTAGTTGATGAAAGAAAATAAAAGAAGAGAAAAAAAGATAATAATTGGGGAAGAATTCTGAATAAGAATAATCAGAAAAGGGGGTAGGGTGAGAGGACAGGAAGAGAAATGGAAGCTTTTAAAACTAAGATTTGCTTTACAGCCTGAGCAAGTGGGGCATTGCCAGTGACCAATGAAAAGCACTGAAGTTTTGCATTTGCAACTTCCAAAATTTAATTGTTCTACATCGACTAATTTTACCCAGCATGTCAGCTCATTTAGGAATATAACTTTAGGATAGATTTTACTACTAATGTAGCCTGAGGTTATAAGGAAGTAGCATAAAACACAAATGTTAGTACATTAATATTTTCCTGGCCACTTTAATGGCTGCATTCTGAAAACTTTTAGGTAGATTTATTACAGTAGGCTTTTCAGAGTAGTATAATTTCATTGCTTAGAGTAGATCAGATTTTAGTTTCTGAATGTCAATTATGTCTTGAAGGTTATTACTTTCAGAAGATCTTGAGAATTCTGGACTGCAACTGGCTATGTTTTAAATCAATTTTTTTTTCAGAGCCCCTCACACCTCTTCTAAACCACTGCGACGAACCAAAATAAAACAGAAAGACAGGAACACAAGAAGAATATCATTATTAAGATGTATCTTAATAAAATAAAGCAAATACCAAAGAAAGTTAAGTGGACATTAAATAATGAGTTCACCTAAAATGAATATTTATGACTGGTATATATACCATGAGTAACTTAGGAATGTGTATTCTTTTATATACTTAGAATATTAATACAGGGTAGAGGTCGTGTTTGTTTTGTTGTGTGTGTGTGAGTTAAAAGTGATTGCTTTCCTTCCTCAAAACATACATGTAGGTCTTCCTTAGGCGCTATTAACATTTCCCAATAGAAATTCACTCGATACAGCAGCATCCCAGGAGTGAAATATGTGGATTACAAATATGAGTGAATGGGGAACAATTAGACTGTCTGTTGTAGAGATTATGCACAGCCTGTTT